CTTTGTCATAGAAGAAGATTAGATTTGTCAAGCAGGACTTGCTTTTCATAAACCCATGCTGACTGGGCCTGATTGCCTAGTTGCCCTGCAAGTGCCGCATGATGACACTCAAATGTCATGTACATGTACAGCATGTACAAGGAGAAAACAGGACGAAATCACACAATAGGTTAGCCAGGACTGCTGGCAAATGGAAATTCACCCTGTGAGGGTGTTTGGTGTAAGTGGAGTCCCTCTGCAGGCTGGCAGGGTCTGCTTGGCTTGGAAGCCTAGCTAGTGCAAAGCCTTGCTTTGGGGTTGGAGAGAGTGTCCAGTCCAGGCCACGAGCAGACAGTTTCTTGCGGAGGATGCTGTGGGAAACGGTGTCAAAAGCCTTGCTGACATCTGATTCACACAGGTTAATCACATTCTTTTCTTATTCTTCTTCTGAGGATCCCTTCACTTCTTCAGGTCAAACTCCCTGCTGTGTTTATAGACAGGTTTAAGAGAACATTTGTAATTGTTCCTTTGCCTACTGTTTTAATGTAGGGTTTGCTATATGTCATTCCTAAATACAACAGAGTTCTTAAAATAGCTTATGCTGCTACAATATTCCTAGTATTTTCCGTTTACCCAGCCATTGCTTTCTCCTTCCAAAGGAACCCTGTAATGAAATACTTAGGACTCTTATCACAGTGGTGGAAATTGTTGATCTCAGTCTAAATGCCTTCCATTGACTACTGGGGTCATTTTTAAGCCTATCACTTTGTTCAATCCACACCCCTTAGCATATGTGTGACATACAGTCTGGGTCAAACAGCGTGATGGAAATAGATCTTGAAGCTGAGTCCAAGGCAACATGTTCTGGTGTTGCTACAGGAACATGGCTCTTCTACAAGACACTCTAGAAAATAATTCTTAAACTGACAGCCCCTTTCCCCTCCCCATGTGACCCAACCTCCGTGCTTCATCTCTGTGTGTTTCCTCAGAAAACCTTCTCACTAGGACGGGGGCTCTGCTGCAACCTCTGCTGTCATTTGTCCTGCAGTTGTTTGTGCCAGCTTGCCTGATTGTCGATGTTAAAGTGGTGGTAGGTGGTGACATACATTCTTAATACTATCTCAGTGAAGTCCTCAAAAGGCTCAGTGTGCCCACAATGGACCTAAACACTAGCACCTAGCTTTTTGCCTTGCCTGCCATTTTGATCTCTAATCTGCATCAGACTTTGTTTTTGCTTTTCTCTGGATCTAGCATAAAAATTACTCTTCCTTGCCAGGCCCTTGTCTTTGGCCACAGGGAGACTTAGGCGTGGTGAAAGACTCGTATTGGGGCTCCTTCAGGATCATGGCAATTGGAGGTCACAGGCTAGTAACGAACAGGGGAACCAACAGGGGAAAATGCCCAGTCTAAAGCAGAAAGCCAGAAGAAAGGAGCTGTCTGAGGACTCATGCTTGCACAGATAGTAAAGTGCAGGTGTGACCTAGTTCTGGCAAAACAATCTCAGTTTGGATTTGCTCTCTAGTCAAATTTGAACAGTTAAGCTCAGGATTTATCTGTTTGTTTTCTTGTTGTTTAGTTTTGTTTTTAGCAGGGAAAAACAACAACAACAACAACAAAAACAAAACAGGCTTGAATCCAGCTCAATGGTAACATGCAAAATGTGGGGTTCTACAACTTGGACTTTGAGCATTTGTCTAGTCAGTGAAGGTTCAGAGGTAGGAAGTGTAGGGAAGGTCATTCTTTTATTTGATATAAGTGGTTTGTTCTTAATTGGAATCCTTAATTCCATTTTTTTTCTCTGTGTGCACCTCAAATGCCATCATATAACCTTGAGAGCCCAATACAGAACAGTCATGTGTCAATTCTGATAAATTGGAAGGGATTTAATTAAATGAGCATATATATAAGACAAATGAATGAGGGATGTCTCAGGAGCTCTTGCAAATTAGCTTAGCAGGAGGAAAAAAAGTATGAACTCCATCTGTAACATAAGTGAAGGGCATCACTTTTTATAATACAGCCATATAGAATCATAAAGGTTAAGAATACTTGGAGCATTCCCTGCCTGGGAGTTCTCTAGGTTGTTATTGCATGCCAGTACAGTGAAGAGAGAAGGAAATAAAGTGCTCATTTAACCAGAAAGAGTGGATTTTCACTGTCAGTCTTACACAGAAGACTCAAAACTACCAGGTGATTTCTGATGACAAATGCTCTGTTTCACAGGGTCTATGGTACACCTAGTGGTATAAAGGCAAAATCTGGAACCCCACCTCCTGTTCTACTTTTTTATACCTGCCTCATTCCAAAAAGGCTTTTTAGCAGTAAAACTTCTTGTAACACAATAGAGATGAAAGCCCCTCTTTGCTTTTTAAAATACAGTTGGTAATGTGAAAAGTACCTCAACATATACTATTGGCTATGATTCAAATTGTTTACAGAACAGGGGTTTCAGCAGGCCCTAGAAATTTTTCCACACTCCTGTGAATCTGGTCCCCAGGAGAGCAGGGATTCAAAGAAGCCCAGCTGTTGAAACAATTCCAGGAAAAGTGTGTACAAAGCTGATTTTTAAAATTATTTTTACTTTAAAAAATGAGCCTTAAAAAGAAACATTACAGGAAAAAAATCTGCTGCAAACTGGATATCTTGCAATTCTCTGACAAGGAGACTAGGAGAAAGCAAGTGAGAAAGAAAATGAAACACTATGCTTTCATTTTCATACAGATGAATTGCAAGGCAGTAAGTTGAATCTAGTCAATGCAAATGGAAATCATACATCTGGACATGGGTAGGAGATTTGATCATCTGGGTTGTTTCAGGTCTTTATTTAAACTAAGTTTCCCTAAGGAGGGGAAAACCAGAAATCAAACCAACAAACCCCAGAGGGTTCTTTTTTGTGTGTGCATATGTGTTTTTTTCTAAATCCAAATTCAGCACCTAGTAGGCCAGTCCAAAACAGTTGTTTTAACAGAATTAGCCCATTTCCAAATCCATGGTACTATTTTTGGCATGTAGACCAACATGTCTTTGCCAGTTCTTCCCAAGTGACAGTGCTTCTGAACTCTTTCATGTTTTACAGCCACTCCGTGTTGCCCTGAGGATTTTGCTCCAAGTGATACATCATTTCACTGGGGAGCTGGACAACGTCTTTGCCCTTTGTCATTCCTGAGTCAGGCTTTGACAGGGCAGCTAATGTTCCCTTGGCACCCAAAAGATTTGCGTGCAAAGACAACAAAAGGAGGCAGGAGCACTAGGGTAGAAACACAGTCCTCTGTCTGTCCTTTGTAAAGATACCAGCACTTTCTGAGGCAAGAGCTGTGAACGGATGGAATTTATCCCATTCACTCTTAATTATGGTGAACTGGAAGCCTGTATTTCTGACAGATAATCTTCAGTGAGGGCTGTGGGGGACATTGGAAGATTCCCATACCGTTACTGTTCTGCTACTAGCATGGGAGAAAGAGTACAGTTAGATATATTGCATCCTTCATTTCAGGACCCTGCACTGACTGTTTTCCCTATCAAATTGGCCCTTCCATGGGCATCTTTCGGTTATTGCTTCACACAGCCTGCAGTAGCAGCACTGAAGTTGTTAGATGGTGTTCTCATGTTAGAACTCCGGCTGCCCAGATCAGGTGTTTCATGTTAAGAGCCTGGGTCCTGGAGACAGCTGGGACATGCAGGGTTTGACAGGATGGTTCCCAGGACCCCCTTAGTCTGTCCAAAGTGAAGCCTGCAGTGCCTTTGGCCCTCGCGAGGCTACAAAAACAAAGAAACTCAGAGGTCTCCCTGTGTCAATTCCAGGTCTTTTCTTGGACCTGCATACAAGCACAGGCCCCTGCCTTGTCATATTAAACAAATGGCTTAGCCTAGAATGAAATTGCTGCTGCTCCAACCTCATTTTAGAGTCTGTAGATAGAGCCCAGTGACTGCAGGAGGGCTAATCCTCCTACAGCTAGAATTAAACCTGGCAGAAAAGGCTATGTGTACCCTTCTGGCCTGTTTCTTGTCAGGCTAAGTAGCCACATGCTCTAATTCATCAGCCAGCTTGGAAATAACAGCCAGTATTCAGATGTGGCTGTTCTAAGACAGCTCCCTAGGAGCTTGTAGAAGCCAGGTCTTCTGTGTGCTGTGATCCTTGATGACAATCAGCTTGGGAAAACAAGTCTGATCAAACAAACAGTCCTGTGCTGATGTTTTCTATCAGGCATGTGTAGAGATTTGGTTTGTATTAGTCCTAAGAGCTAGAGGGATACCTCCAGATAGACTCTAAAGTACATGCTTGCTCTGTAAGTGCTGCCTTCTGCTGTGACAGCTAAAAAGTGTGGTTACCCCAGCCCAACAGAAAAATAAAAAGGCATGAAATGCAGTATGGGAAATAAAAATGAAATTTCCTAATATCTTCAGTAAAAGCCTATAAAAATGTCAATAAAATTGTTTTTAGCAGCCTTAAATTTCCTTCCAAGTGCTTGGTGATTATATGCATTTCCCATTTGGACTTGAGGCACAAGTTTCTTGTCAATCCTCCACTGGCATCACAACTAAATGCTGAGAAATGTGATGGGGTTAGGTAACACACTAGTGTATGTTCTGTAAATGCTCACGGTTTGCTAGCTAACTAGCAGAACTTGAAGGGAAAATATTTTTCATTTAACTGGAATTGTCACAATTTTAAGGGCTTTTCCCTTTCCAAAACAGTGTGAAACAAGCAGCCAAAAAAATCATGCATATCAGAGGAAAAAAAAAAAGATTAGATTGCTTGTGACCATTTCATTTGTTTCAAGTCAACAAAGAGCTCAAACCACAATCTGTTCCAATAGCATGTTTGTCATTGTTTTATTCAGTGTAGCTTTAAAATTCTCAAGACTGCATCTAGATCCTTCTCACGAGTGAGAAGTTTTTCGTTACATTCATGTCAAGCCTTTCCTATTGGCTACATTGCCTCTACTATCCATCTTAGAACAGCAGTTCCTGGCTCTGCCACATGCTACAGGGGTGAATTGTTGCTAGTGCAGCTCTTTTACCTTGTTGATGAGGCTAGGATCACCCTGGCTGCTTTCCTCCTCTTCCGAACTCTTTTGTTCCTCATCTGATGTGATGACCTCCACGGGTATCACTGAGACCGGGCACACCTTGTAAGGTTCAGTGTAGGCACTGTAGAGAAAGAACAGACCAGCTCATTGGCAGTATTTCCAGACACCTGCTGCTGCTCAGACACAGCAAATCCACACATTGCACAGTTCTAAACACTCAGGGGACCAGGTGTCCCTGCAGACCCTGTAGGCTTGGAATCAAGATTCCTCAAGCTTTGTGTTTTGTTGCGAAGTTGAACAGCAACCATTTAGACAAGTAGAAGAATCTGAATGGAGCAGTGGGAAACAAGTGAACTCATTCAAGCTTCCCTATAGGATCAGTTTTCTGGCTCAGTTTGGAACAAAAAGTTTGACTGGGTGCATACATAGTTGCAACTAGAACTTGTTTGTTCTTCCTGAGACAATCCCTCAAAATGGATGTAATAAAATCATACTAATATTTCAGTACTTAGTAGAAATGGAAATTAAACATTGTAAGTTTTCCGTGAAAACATTAAAAGGATAAGAAAAGTGTAACTATAATACCATTGGAATTACAGCACAAGGTAACTCAGATCCCATCATCCTTGAGTTGTTTCAAGGGAATCCAGAAAATCCAGAAAAAGCAATGCAATTGAAAGTGCTGAATCTGTTAATGTAATACAGTCCAAGGATTTCCCAGCATTATTTTTCTTTCAGGAAAATGTAACAGCACACACACATACATATTTAGATTTAAATTGCCAGTTGTTTCAAATCCTTCACAAAACCAGATTCTGCTGACCAGACTCACATTTCCCTTCAGAAAGGAAACTCCATTTCTGCATTCACTTCCAAGCTGCAAAGAGTGGTCTGTGTCTGCCATGCAGGTGTGGCTGCTCACCTTTCCTTCATGTGCAGAGGCAAGTAGCTCCCACAAGCTGCCCCATGCATTTTCCACAGTGGGATGAAGGACTGAGCAGCTGCACTGTTCCTCACCATTGTCTTCTCTTGTTTATTATTAGTGTCTGCAGTTTTTCAGTGTGGGCGGCATCACAGCACTTCCGAAACCCTGCCTAGCTACAACAACAAAGGGGCCTCTGTGGATCAGCTCCACCCCTGACTTCCACACTTTTGTTGATGCTAATTGCTTTATTATTGGACCCAAAGAAGAGGCTTGCCATGCTCCCAGATCCTGACATGCATATGACTCTAAAGACAACCTGCCTCATTGCTCAGTAATGATAAAATAAAACCTCCTGATGGAGAGTTGTTTATACTAAAAGTAGTGCTGGGGTGAAACTGGGGACATGTGAGTTGTTCCAGGTATGTTTAGATAAAATTGTTTTGTTTTGTTTTGTTTTAAGGGGCATTTCTCTATTGGTTCTCCTACTCTCAGCTGGTACTCATATCTGGGTCTATCCTCAAGCTCAGTTCAGCATTTGGAATACTTCTGATTTTCATCCTGTAAACTTTTCCCTCACTAATAAATGGATATTATTATTACATCAGAGGTCAGACAGGGAGAGAGAGAGGCAGTACCACTGATTCATTGGGTTTTACTTCAGGCCAGCTCAAGCTCTTTCTTCTGTTCTGCTTTCCTCTTACAATTCATCTAAACTCCATCTCAATTGCTCTTTTGACCTGTTTGCTTTGTCCTTATCCTTAGACAACCTTAGACTACCTTCCATGCCTTGATGCTAGTGGAATTTTTCTGATGAAAGAAGGTGTTGTATCTGTCTGCCAAGGGAAATCCCCATGCAACTTGAAATCTCTCATATTGCTCACTCCAAGAGTTGAGGAAAACAAGATGTCAGTAGAGCAAGGAAATGGTGAGCAATACTGGCCTGGCAGTTTGAAATTGCATACATTGAGTTGTCGCACACTGGAACAGGCTTCCCAGGGAAGCAGTCACTGCAAAAAGCCTCTTGGAGTTTAAGAAGTGTTTGGACCGTGCACTTAGTCACATGGTCTGAATTTTTGGGTAGACCTGTGTGGTGCCAGGAGTTGGACTTGATGATCCTTATGGGTCCCTTTGAACTCGGGTTATTCTATGATTCTGTATGTCTTAGTGAATAAATGCATGGTCTGCCCCTGCATGAAGGCGAGAACACCTGCTCCTCAGGGCACATTTTCACATACAGAAGTCTGGTTCAGGGTGTCAGCTGTGGTAAGTGATGACAGATCTAATAACTGCCTGAGTCTTTTGTGTAGTATCAGTGCACAGGTAACTGAAAGGCCTCATTTATTCCCTGGCATGAACAAACAGCATGTTACTCCTGCTTTGCAGTTCCTTCTCCCACCTCAGATGAACACACAGCTTTTGCATGCTGCTGTGTTTACTCCTTCATCCTCAAGCAGTAGGCACATTCCGCACAGGGGTCCTAGAACCCATAATGGCAGCCACAGGTGATTAAAGAACTGATCTGTGCTTCAGCTCCTAGAGAAACCATTCTGGGCACAGCATGTTTGATGCTGAGATTGTCCGTGCTTGTGTGTGCATCTGCCAGGTCTTATTCCACTGACATAGGAATGTGACCATGGAAGAAAACATATGTGACAGAAGAGTCAAGACCTACCCCTAGGGCCTCTTTAAAAGTTGCTTTTCCTCATTAGCTGTGGCAAGGGTAGACAAAATTAACTTCATCTTGTATCAGGATAAAGAACTAAGGAAAGTTGCCTATAAAAGGTGTTATTTTTTTCTGGATGCTTCCTACAGCCTTGTAGGCCTCTTTGGTGCATGAAACTTTGAATCAAAGAAAATACTGTACGCTGGAATGAAATGTACTGTAAGGCAAAGTACTATTCAGGATCTTTTAAAATCCTGTGTCTATCACATATGGCTGTCTAGATGTGTTTTCTTAGTAATTCACCAGTAATAAATGCAAACTGTTTGCACTACTTAACATAACTACTAAGCATAACCAGTCCTGGATCTAAGTCCTTGTTATAATTACATATTAATTCTTTGTTGATCTAACATTTCAGGTATTTAGATGCACTCCTCTCCCATTGTGGGTACAACAGGAGAAGAAATGTGATTGAAGGGACAACCTATTATTCATGTTGCTTTCCAAGGCTATGAAAATCAAAAACTTTACACTGAGTAAGATAAATGATCTCCCTGAGTCCACAGGTAGTACAAGGACAAATTGCTCAGACCTGGTGGTTAGAACTGTCACTGTTGGATCCTACTGTTCATCTGGTCCCACCTGTAAAAGATGGATACACTGCACTGTCTTCTTTCTTCTATATTCTTGGTATATTTTTTTGATGTTAAAATGTCTGCTGATGAAAAAATAGACTAAAAGCATTCAGGAAAAACATTTGTTTTAGCTAAAAAATCAAAATGAAAGCATTGGGTTCTTAGTGCTTTTGAACCAAAAAACAGGTTTTGGAATGCAAATGTTTCTGGCTACAATTCTGCAGTACCTTAATTCAAAAGATTTTCTGCCTATTAATGGAAAATATTCAATAAGTTCCAATGAAGCTGCCAAATTTTTAACATTTTTTTACACTATTCTTATGTCTAAAATTGTCAGATTGCTGGGATAATAAGATATTTGGAACTTAAAAAGATTACTTAGAAATAATATTTATGGCAGAAATAGACGGTTGTGAGAACACACTTCCCAAGTACAGAGGAGGGGGAGTACAAAATAGCATGATGCTTTTGTTTTGCTTACCTTGCAGATGGGTTTTAGTAATTTGGTAATTTCCCTCATAACAAATTCTTCAAAGAGGATGAGCTAGCAGCAGCAAAAGACCATGCTGTGTCATGGCTCCCAGCTCAGAGCTAGCTCAGCACAAGTGAAAGCAAGAGCAAGGCAGATACAGGAACAGCTCAGGAGGCTTATTAACAGTTTAGCCAGTCTCTCTCCTTACTCTCTCAGCTTTTCTGCAATTTGTAATGGTTTGTCCCAGCAGACGCGGAATTAAGTTTCTTTCTCCCTCAGAAGATAAATGACTACATTATGTTAGTGTAAGAACACATTATAATTTGGGAAGAATGCCTCATTATATTAGTCTGGTAATCATTATGAATGGCGCTATTAACGACTTATACAGCAGTAAAATTTGCAATATTGCCTAACTGTTTCATGGGCTTCACTTACAGGAGGCCTGAAGTGCAGTGGCACTGGCTAGTGCTTAAAGACACTTCCCAAAATGCTACAGATCTCCTTTGCCCTTGGGAATGTGCAAAAGCATGTTTGTGCCTTCCTTCCCATCCTACCCTCCTCCAGACACTCCAGCAGCACTCGTGTTTTCACTTCTGAGTTCTGTATTGTCATAGAGCTCCTGGGCAGTACACCTTTCCTGACACCTACCATGTTTTTTTATCCCAGTTAATTCACATAATTTCATCCATTTTATAAATCTACATGCTTGTGTTCTCCTAGTAGTCCTTGCTCCTGAAGACTGAACTGATCACCACGTGAAGATGCCCATGGCATATCACTTCAGATTCTAGAACATGAGAGATGATTGCTCCTGCCATTCCAGTAAAAATACAGACAGAACTACGTCATGCCTGTGTGGCAGGAGCCTGGGGAAAAGCCTCAGTGAGCAAACATTTGACTGCAAGTCCCTGAAAACTAACACTTATATAGTTCCTGTGTCCCATCCACCGTTTAATTACATCATGCCTCTAAACTTGCTTTTAAGGTTGGAAGACTTAAGCTCACATATAACCTGTCTGCCTCCAGGTGAGCATAGATTTTTTACAGGCATTTGATTTTGGTTTTATTGTTTCCACATAAAAGATATATTTTTTGTTTTTCTTCTGTCTCCTGTTATTTCCCTGACATTGTCTTCCCTCCTTCTTTGAAGAGTGAGCAGCAAGGGTTGTGACTCTGCTCGGAAAGCATGGAGACAGAGTTGACCATGAGATGTTTGTCAGCTGGAGTTGGGCAGACTGCATGAGATATCTCCAGTATAACATATTCATGATCAAGTGTCTTCTGCAAAAGTCAGTGTCATTAACAGGAAGTCTGGTTAAGGCTAAGAATTCATTGCCAGTTGCAAAACATAAAGTGAGGCTGAGCTTCAGAGGAAATGCACTTTGGCTTCTAGGGGAGGAGAGGCTCAGCGGGTCCTGATAAG